AAGAGGAGTTGGGCCAGAGACGGCCCAACGACTTAGAAGAGGGTTTTCTAAACTTTCTCAATTAAAATAATTCGTGAAATGATGTCTCATTTATTAAAAATACTTTCCTTGCTCAAATAATTCCCAGAAAAAATCTAGAAAATAGATAAACAGGCAAAGTGTTTAATGAAATTTTATCTAGCTCAATTTTATGTTGAAATTTTTCCTAGATTATTAGAGTTTAACTTGTAGGCTTTTTAAAATAATTTCTAAAAATGCATTAAAGAATGAATTATTAAAATAATTTCTAAAAATGCATTAAAAATGCATATATTTATATACGAATAGAATTATACACCACAAATTTAAAAGCATATAAAGTGAAAAAACAAGAATATTAATACCTTTTTTTTCCATTTAATGGGCACTTGTAGCTAGCTTGCCTGTGATCTTTCTGACCACATCTTTTGGATGTAACTGGACCTCTTATAATTTTCATGTTCTTGCTATCACTCTTTGCACTACTTTTGCCACCAGTCTCAAGGCATCCTTTAATCCTCAGTTTCCTCTTTCTTCCAACACTCCTCTCCTCTAGTGATGCGCCCAAATTGAAAGGCATTTTCACCTTTGGCAATTGTGACTTGTCTGACATTGCCGATATCTCTCTCATTTGCAGCCCTGAATTTCTCCACTGAGTAAACCATATCAACGAATTTTTCCATGTCCACATTCCTTTGAGTTGTTAAAAAGGCCAATACATGCCCACAGGGCTGCCCGATGTGTTGCCAGTCCTCGCATGTGCATGTATTTGCCACTATTGAAGCAACATGTCTTCCAAATTATTTGCCATAGGCATGCACCTCCGCAATATGTAAGCTAGCTGTTATAACTTGAAAGTGGCCTAATCCTCTTGTTCTTGCCTTCAATTGGTGCATTACAGCTGGTATAACCCTACCATGAAGCCTTTCTCCAATTCTCCTTTTGTTATCCCATAGAACCATCACCTTCTTTCTAAGCTTGTCAACTAGGTCAACAACTGGCAAGTCCTTGATATCAGAAATCCATGCATTGAAAACCTCTACAATATTGCAATATAGTCACACTTGATGGCGGGGTTGAAGCCACACCTCATCTACTTTAGGCTATGATATGTTGTCAAAAATCTCCAAACTTCAAGAGGTCTATTAATAATAGGGAACATGTGCTTCTGGAATACCTCTTCCCAATAAGCTCTTGTTGCAGGGTACATATTACCAAAAGTCTCACCATGTAACTTCATAGAAATTTTGTCATAAGATGCCAAAAACATTCTCTTTGTTCAGCAGCATGTAACACCTTATTGACTGCATTCTCTAACCCCTTACAAGCATCTGAACAAATAGCAAGAGGCAAGGTTAGCTGCTTCCACCTTCTGATCTGACAGCCTCTGTTAGAACTCCATTATGCCTGCAATCTCTTCCTTGTCTCAGGCCTTAGCATCTACCAAAGACTTAACAATCTCATTAACCTCGGCATTGCCAACAACTACCTACTTCCCCTTCTTTCCTCTCTTAACTTCAACTAGACGTGGCAGCTCTGTTGGGGTCTCTATGGGCTATGATGTCTTTGTGAGTTCTGCATTCAGATTAGGGGTGGCCTTCTTCTTCTTCACAAGACTGGCCACATGCACAGCCACTTAGGTGCATAGCGAACAACCTCCCACCATTTAGTGAAAGTGAAGTCACTACCACAGAACATGAGATTAGTACCGGTTGGGAAGCCCCTTTCTGTGTCGGTTTTCCCAACCGGCACTATGAAGGCGGCACTGAAGAGTAAACCAGCACCAATCTCATTTTGAAAACCGGCACCTTTGATACCACTCACGAGCCAAAAAAAAAGGCTCGATGCATCGGCTCAAATCGAGCCGATGCATCGAGCTCATCCACCCTGCATCACAATCCTTAATCCCCAATCACAGAACACATTAACAGAAATCACATAAATCATTTGACTAATCCCCAATCCCCAATCACAGCACTCAGTCACATAAATCACAAAAATCATTTCACTAACATCAAGAAACATTGAACAACATCACACAAATCATTTCACAGAAATCTTTTAAGAAACATTTCGCCAGATCTCACGGAGGGAGGGCGCCGCCACCACGCCGCCACCCCGCCACCGCCTCTCGTCCCGCCGTCGCATCCCCCCTCCTCCCTTCCGCCGCCGCCGGGCCGCCTCTCCGCGGCCGCCGCTAGGCCGCCCCTCCCCAGATCAAGTGAAGGAGAGGGCGTGGCCACCGCTGCTGCCTCCGCCGGCCGCAGACAACGAGAGAGTCGAGAGGGGAGGGCGCCGTCGGCAGGGCGACGCCGCATCCCCACTCCCCTCCGACGCCACATGCCACCCCTCCGCCACCGCCGGGTCGCCCCTCCCCGGATCTGGCGGAGGGGAGGGCGCGTCCGCCGCCGCCTCTACCGGCCGGGAGACGAGAAAGAGAAGAGAAGAGAGCGGAGAGAACGAGAGGAGACGAGCCGAGAGAGAGACTGAGAGGAGAGAAGAGAGAGAAGAGACGAGCGCTGGGGAGCGGCCTGGCCTTATCTCCTTGAAGCTTCGTGGTGGGGCCCGCCGGCTCGGCTCAACTGATAGGTGTCAGTTTAGAAAAAAAGGCATCTATAATTTATTATAGGTGCTGGTTTTTAATATTAAAGGTTCTGGTTTTTTTTAAAAAAACAACACAAAATAGAATAGGTGCCAGTTTTTATCTAGAACCGACACCTATAATAAATTAAAGGTGCCGGTTTTTTGTGATTTCAACCCGCGGAGGTGGGAAAAGGCCTATATGTGCCGGTTTTAGCACTACTGGCACTTATAGTGGTGACACCTATTTGATGTTTTGTAGTAGTGAGTGCTTCTTCTGCCTTGAGTAGTACAAATCCAATGCCTCATCCATAAGCTGCTTCTCGGTTCTCTCACTAACATACTCTTTCTGCAATTGTTTTATGACAATAGCTTTTAAGTTCACTCATATTCCTAATTCCTGTCATCAGGGGTAGTTGAATTATAGGTGGTTGCCACTTGTTTCTAGTAGGTTTCACCCTTTCTTGCATTCCCTTGAATGGGGTCGGTAGAATTGTTCAGCCAAGCACTAACCGACAAAACAAAGTGGAAAAGAAACATCAACAGCACTGAATGTACATGTTTGGCCATAGAAGATTATTGAAGCAAAAAAATAATCTACAATATATCAAAACAAAGCACCAAAACATTTACATCATTTAATCCACACATTGAACAAAAGCATAGCATCCAGCAAACTAACTGAAAAGCATGATTTTAGGCCATTCTTACAAACTATTTCTAATCCATTGACCTATTTGCAACAACAAAATAGTGACTCACTGCAACACACAACCATAACAATGCACAAACAAACCTAAAATGTCATATTTTTCCTTGCTTAAGGTTCTCATCACAAGCAAAACATCCACAAACAAACCTAAAAATTAATGAACTTGCATACCAGCCTCAGGTCCTCTTCTTTGCTGTAGTACAATCGTCCCTACCCATTGTTGATGATCTCGACCTCAGGCTCAGCCCTCACCTGACGGTGCTGTCCAGATCTAGATGACACTGGTGGGTTCTCGGTGGGTGCTGGTGGGGCCTGCCTGCAGAATTAGTATAGGTTAAGTTAACACTACTTTCGATACCAAGTCATGGAAATGCGATCCCCTATATATGAAATTAACATCATACTGGACATGGTCGGGGAATGGGGGAGGGAAGAATGCCGGTTGCATTGAAGATTAGCTGACCATGGCCGACGCATTGGGTTCTTGAAGGAAATGGATGAAGCACCATTGGGAATGAAATCCATCGAAACCTGCAGGTGACCGAAGTGAATCGGAGCAATGGGGGTGCTAGGATAGCAGATCGAATGGAAAAAATCACAAATAGCCAGCGGCGCTGCCACCTAGGGTTTAGGGTTTGGTGGACATACCTGTCTCAGCTGTTCCCTGGAGGCCGCGGCGCAGTGGATCCAAGCCAACGCGAGCACGAAGACGGTGGAGACTCAACTACACCAGCGAAGATGATGGAGATCGGCGAGCAATCTCGCTGCTGTCGCGGGAGGGGAGAGCGCGAGGAGTGGATTGCCCGAGAAAATGCGAGGGCGAGATCTTGGGTAGGTGCACGGGAGGGGCGGGGGGCCTGACCAGGCGAGGCGCGGAACGTGGCTCGTGCTCAGCCAACACGAGGCCTCAAGCCGTGGTTTCGTGGCTCCCGAACTTAAAAATGGAGAGAGGAAATTGATTCCTCTACAAGCATGGCTACACCCTGCGGAACCACAATCGGCTGCCATCACGTCTCAGCTCCGACGTGGAGGCTTAAGACCATAGGATAGGGTGGAGCATTGTACATGGCCTAACAAAGACATCCCATGTATATATCACTCCCAGTCAAACACGCCAAACAAAGCAGAACTAAAAGTCTAAGCTTCCAATCTCCTACTACCGTTCCATCCAAACTTTGAATAAAACTAGGTACTTCAAAACTGTAGCTTCCAACATCCTGCCTCTTTCTTTCAACTTATGAGTATTGTCATTGAGCAACACGACTATATTTTCATGCTCTCATAACGTTCCGCTGTAAATAACCTATAAAAATGAATTAGTTTTAGAGAAGTTAAAACCCTGTAGTTTCTGCTTAACCATATTGCTCAACACAAAAAAAAGCTACAATACCCACAAAAGATTTTATAATTTACACTGGGTTGTATATCATTCATGCCAACTACCACAATGATTAGCAACACCAGTAGGCGGTTGTGCTTCAAAGGTTCTAAACGGTAAACAGAACATTCCATGTGAGTAACACTACTTTCCATTCCACTTTCTTTTCGCCAGCGGCCAAATTAGTATATATAGGTTAAATTAATTAGCACAACTTTGGATACCAAGTCATGCCAATGCACTAGATAATCCCCTCTATATGAAAATTAGTTAATTACCACGTTATGTACATGTATTACAGTTTACAGAGACTATATGTAAAACACATCTTATAATTTGCATTGTCATATAATTACAACAATTAGTTAATTACCACGTTATATATTACAGTTTACAAAGACTCTGCATGCACTAATAGTATAGTAGCAATCCACTATAGTACAGTTCGGTGTTTAATTTTCTTTTCCAAATCCAAACCATGCACCATGGGGATGGACCTTAATTATCAGACAGTGTAACCTCCTCCAAGTGTTGCACCCTGCATCTGCGCCCCAACGGGATCGGCCGCTGGTAGAACAGCTCACTCTTGTCGCCGCCGCGGCCGCGACCGGCGATCCTCCAGTACGAGCCACGCTTCGCCGGCAGGGCCGCCGCATCCACCATCTTCGCGGCGCGCGACCGTGCCCGCAGAGCTGATGGAACGAGCACGACGAGCCTGTTCACCTTCACCCTCACCGTCTGAGCCCGCACGACGACGGCGCCGCCACCGCCGTCGAGAGACTCCGGTGGACGGCCGGCGATAACGCCGCCGTGGCTGTTCTCCGGGTAGCCGGCCAGCACTACTTGCAACTCGCTCTCCATCGAGGAGTTCTTCGGCGAAGCCATGTGATTTGGTAGTGGCTCGTCGGCGGCCATGGTTCCAGGATTCGATGACGATTCGATCTTCAGGAGGTCCTCCAGGCTAGACCGGGATTTTCTCGTTACGATTGCATCCTCACGGCCGCCGCCGGCGATGATCTCCCCGCCGGCATTGACGACGACGAGGTTGCTCGAGGTCGCAGCACAATTCTTGGTCCTGAAGACGGCGGTGAGCGGCGACCATATCGACTTCAGGATTGCCTGCCTCTTGGACATCGCCGGAAGCTCTTGCAGCGGGCCGGCAGCGGGCCGGCGGCGAGCCGACGACGGGGACGACGTGGCGCCGGAGTTAGTAAGTAAGCCGACGAGACGAACTCACAAGCGATGTGACGCAGTGGCTGGCTGGCTGTCACCAAGAGGTGCCATTCATGTAATAATTAAGGGAAGGTAGTTATAGCATTTTATAGCGTTGGTGATGTCTGAGGTGGTTGACTAACCTCAGAGCCAGATTGATCGAAGTAGATATATGTAGGTTTGAGTAAAGATTTGCGAGTGAGATCTGACAGTGTTGGCATTTGTTGGTTGAGCTAACATATGGGATGCTGACAGCGACTGTTGGTTGGGGGAGGTTTCGAAATGGCAGCTTTTAGAGGTTGATGAAACTTGCATGCATGGATGGTAGAGGCAGATATATATAAGGGACATAAATGTTTACTTTCTAGAGAAAACTAAGCTGATATGAAAGTTTTGATAGGTCGGATCACCACAAGAAAAATACTCTGTATAGACATTTTTTTAGTACTGTAGAGGCACTTATCAAATGCCTAATAAGTGTCTTATGGTGAATTGTCTCTACAAACGAAGAGACATTTTATAAAATGTCTATAAGATGGTAGAGGCATTTTTTAGAGACACTAAATTGTACCGCAAACATATAAAACCAGTCCAAAAAAGAGAATAAAATAGTTTCCTTGCTTTTGATAAGTCTTGAACTCATGATCTTTTGGTTAAATCATTTTAATCTTCGATACACTAACCAACTCAACTCCATGTCATTACTTGCATACTTGTTCCTTTAATTACTTATATTTAGTCGTTTAGTACACATTATCATTCTAAAAAGTGTCTCTACATAGTTTAAAATGTCTCAACTAAATGCCTTTACATATTAGACGCATTTTATAGTGCCGAAAGAATGCCTCTACAAGATAAAATCTAACAAACTGATATAAAAATGTCTCTAGAGTAAAAGTTTTCTAGGCAATTTTTAAAGTGTCTCTATAAAGTGTCTCTACACTATAAAACTTCTGATTGTAGAAGCAATTTACAAAATGCCTCTACAAAAGTGCCTCTATACGAGGTTTTTGTTGTAGTGGATTAATACAGATTGGAGATTTTTTTTTGGGTGTTAGGTAAATGTTGGAGATTATACTTTGCAATGTCAATGCTTGCTCCCTCATTTGTCCTCAGTCCATTGACGAGGCCTTCTTCTGTCATACTTGTCTGACTTGTCGTGAGTGCCTGTTCTAGCAACGTAGAATTCTTATAAGACGATGGAAATGTTTTACATCACAGCTTCTAGCAGCAAAACCACCTCTTCTTTTACAAGTACTGGTGGCGCTCATAAGACCCTGCTTATAAAAATCGATTTTTACTAGCGGGGTCTAATAGCCACCACCATAAAAAAATATGGGATAGGAATAAATCCCTCGTGGAGACTAAGTACAACTCATCGTTTTCCTCTCCGCCGCATCTTTTCTAATCCCAACTCTACTCTCCCTCCCATCCCACCTCATCCTCAACCTCTCCCAGATCCACCAGCCACCTCTCCTCTCCCTTCATCTCCATTCTGGCCTCTCGCACCACTCCTCAATCAATCGTGGGTGGAGCGAGCAGTCTCGGGCCACGGGCAACGGGGAGGGGATGGATCCGGCGGTGGGCAGTGAAGGACAGGGGCGGTCATGGTGGAGGAGGTGGATCTGGCGATAGGGAGAGGGGTCACTACAACAAAACCATTGTTTTAAGACGTTTTACTTAAGTCATTCTATAAGTCGTCTCTTTTTTATAAGTGAAATTGAAATAGGGACGATGTTTGAGACGCTTTATTAGTTGAGGACATAGTTTAAGACGCTTTACATGTTAGCACAAAATTAAATCGTTTAGAGACGAATATTGAGACGTTTTTGGAACGTCTCATGTGTAAGAAATGAGTTTTGAGACGTTTTTATTATATCCGTGTCATCATTATTAGATAATATATAATTATTTATATAGAAAAAGAAGAAAATAAACACACTGTTCCTAATCGTCATCATCAAATACCATTATAATAATATTATAATTATTTGGGAAAAAATAAATATTTAATATTCAGTCTTAGATTAAAAAAGAAGAGTACCGCTACAGGACGCATGTTTGCAGAGTTGCAATATAAAAAAAACTATCTATTTACCTTCAAGATTGTCACGTTAATGACTTGGTTAGTGCATGAACTTTGCAACCTGCAGGTGCTGTGTTCGAGCCCAGATGAAAGCATTAATATCAAATATATTAAGATGTGCGTGCCTATATAAAAGCGTCTCTATATTTTGTAGAGATGCAATTTACACGTCTCTAGCAACGTCTTAAATAATATAGGTACGCTTTAAAAAGCGTCTCCATAATTCTGAGACGGTGCAAACAGAGACGATCCTACGACGCTTTATAAAAGCGTCTCAGTTATCTTTGTGAGACGAAATAAAACGTCTCTATCTTACAAATAAGATGTCTCCTTTGGTTTGTTTTGTTGTAGTGGGTGGGGGCGGATCTGTGGGCGGAAGAGGTGCGCGCGGCGATGGTGACGGTGGATGGGATGAATCCGGCGGTGGGAAGGGGAGCAGGCGGTGTATCCACGGCCGAGAGGGGCATGGGCCAGAGGGGCGCAAGCGGGGGGAAGGGCGCGAGCTGCAGGAAGCGACTGTGACGGTGGAGTGGACGGATCCGGTAGCGGGAGACGAAGGAGAGGGGCTGTCGCGGTGGAGGCGGTGGATCTAGTGGCGGCTGCCATGATGACGACGACGGCCGGACCTCGAGAAGGTTCCGGAGGCTCCTCCAATCCCCTCCCCTCTCCCAGATCTGACAGGCGGCAGTGGTGCTCGGTCTTAGTCTCTCAATAACGACGATTTAACATAATTGGTTACTCCAATTAATTTGAATGGAGATGGGGATTGATACAATTGAAAACCTGTGAATGGAAATTATGACCGTAAATTGTGATGATTTGTGGATTTGTTAAATACGATGGATTTAAAATGTGGATTTGTGAATGGGGATTTGGGAATTTTTTGGATTTCGGGATTGTTGTATTGACAGAGGCGAATGGAGCGGCGTCACTGGATTATCGCATGTGGCCAATAAAACGTAGCCGCCTGTGCAAATTCATTTTTTCAGGCAGCTACCTTACAAAGACCGCCAGCGAAAATGGATCAACGCTGTCGGTTAGCAAATGCCTGTGAAGATACTGTATTATCACTGGCCTTTGGTCTCCCGCGGTGCTGCTGGCCACTTGTGAAAACCTATTTTGGTCGCCAGAAAAAATCATTTTTGTAGTAGTGATTATATGGAAAGATATACTCAAATTCAGAAATATAGTGGATAAGAATAGGAAGTGCTTCCACAAGAAGGCAAGGTACTGTCTACCAGTATCCTATGATGGCTCTCTGAGTTTTACATGGACAAAAATTTGCTAACCAATCAAAAAACAAAGCCCATTGGGAGGTAATAGCATTGAGTCACAAGTCATAGCGATAGTTGATATCATAAATTAATCAACCAGGAGGATGACAATAGCTAGCCGCCGGCTTGAAGTTGTACAAGACCTAGGGTTATATGTATACATTGGACTAACACTATTACACCTTAGGTGCCACAACTTATATAAAAATCCCGCATATATATAGCTTAGTATTAATGTCCCGTATACTACAGAATTACCATTGTTGGATATATAGCCCATCGACTGATGGTATGTCGTGTGACGCACGTTCATCAACGATAATGTGTAAAACCTATCAGTTGTCAATGACAAAAACATAGAATTTGTCTAATTTTATTGTGGATATTAAATTGTGGCACAGTATGCGTGTGCAGCATGACTAAATGTTAGGCCCTTACTGTAATTTGCGTAGTAAAAATGCTTTAAGTTTATCACTCTTCTGAGAACTAGAAAAATAATTTTGCTCAACGAGGTCTATAGCACTATGCAGATGGCTCACATTTTCAGCCACAATTGTCCACCTGTAATGTCATATGAGGGGGATGCAATCGTCGTCTGCCTGCAAAACTATATCTTCCTCTGTTGAGCCCCCACTGCCGCTCCTCCACCTGGCCAACCTGCTGTCGCCATAGCCCCATTTTTTCACGTTAGCAGCTGTCGAGCAACTCTCAGTACTACAAAATGGATTTATCCTGACGGCCAGTGTGTGTTCTCTCCGACGGCTGGCACTACCACCCATTGACCGATGGCGAGTGAAAATGCACCATTTTAACTAGTGGCTAATAGCCACCAACGAGAAATCATTTATTTTCACCAGTGGATGATCTAGCGTGCTAGTGAAAATGATTTGCGCAAGCGGCTAGGTTAAGCGGACTATCCATGATAGTTGATTTTGACAGGCAGCAACCAGCATAGATCGATTCTTGCTAAAAAAAATATCCACATGCCTTCACCTGCCAATTTCCACAGATCAACCACGAAATACAAATCAAATAGTCTGCATCACCTCTTCGATCTGCAAGAGAACGGAAAGAACAGACACAGAAAATAATCAAATCGAGCAACCTAGCTCCCAAGCAAAGCATAATGCGCCCCCTCTCCCCCAAATTAACAAGAACCCTAGCAGCGATAGACAAGCTCGCTGGTGGCCTTGGAGGTCGCTGAAGCCACAAAGGGACGAATCACCGCCGAAGCCATCATCTTTATTGCTGCTGCCAGATCTGGAAGAGGGAGGAAGGGGAGTGGGGGCTGCTGCCACCACCCCCTCTACTGATGCTGCCACCGCCGGCAGCCTCCTCTCCTCCAGCTTGATCTTAGGAGAAAGAGAAGAGCAGAGGGCAAGGATGCTACCGCTGCTGACTCTGCCACGTTGCCGCCACCGGCCTCCTCCCATCTCGCCACCGAATCCACTTCCCGTCACAATCGAGCATCTCGGTGGAGGTTTAGGTTGGAGGGAGTAGAGAGCGGGAGGAAGGGATGTGAGATTGAGAGGTACGGGAGACAAGCAGGAGTGGTCTTAACTGAGAACACGGACACAACTGCAATTTGATATGGCAAAAATCATTTTTTTTGTTGGTTGTCACCTATTAACTGACAGCGAGCAAAAATAAATTAATGGAGGCTCGTGACCGGAAACCCTCCAATAAATTTTTAGAAACGTGTGATTATGATACCCTTCAATAATTTTTTTTTGTAT